GTGGAGTTCTAGGTGTTCTAGGAGATGGAACTGGCATCATGTTACCTGTATGTGGAGTTCTAGGTGTTCTAGGAGATGGAACTGGCATCATGTTACCTGTATGTGGAGTTCTAGGTGTTCTAGGAGATGGAACTGGCATCATGTTAGCTGGATCTTCCATGAATACTGGTCCAAATATGTTTGCTAGATAGTTTGGGTCAGGGGGAGGAATAGGATAACAACCTAGAATATTATTATCACTATTCTTATCATGGTAAATACTGAATTCGGAACCTCTGTAATTTGAAATGTGCAACCCCGAGACCGCATTCAGGGCATTGAACACCACTGTGTGGACAATGGCCTGGTGCAGTGATCGCCATCTAATGCAAAACCATACAGTGGCCAAGAAGACTTTAATTGAGGGGTTAAGCATTGATCCTCAAGCTTAAAAGGGCCCATATTAGATATCAAGAAAAAAATTTCAAGTTTAACGATACTAAAAACATAAGGTTCGACCTCTGAATCTGATCATAATTAATTTGAGTTTTATTAATGTAAACTGTACAGGGTGTCTCAAATAGTCGGGGAATAATGGTCTAACGACGCGTTTGTAGTCGGATTTTAAATTTTATTGTGCAAACTGAGATTATCTTTATTTTTACTAAATTTACTCACTCCAGTGAGAAACTTTAGAAGCATATAAAATTGTTTCCATCTTCAAGAAATTTGACAAAGATTTTAAAAATTATCTCAATCTTTAAAATCCGAGTTTTCTAGACAGGAATATACATGTTTACGTAAACTATTACTAACCCAATGCCATTTCTAGAAGAGAGAGCCCAAGAGACCAAAGATCACTTGCAACACTGTACTGTGACCCCTAAACAAACAAAAACAAAATGATTTATATTGCAAAATGTTCATATAGTAGAGAAATAAATTACAGCGAAAGAAACAAAATGAGTGGGACATATGTCCTAAATAACATTAAATTACCTGTAACCGCTCTGGGGACATATAGCTGCGTGTCCCAACAAAGGAGTTGGCCATAGAATCAATAAGCTGACCGGAAACACCGAAATCACAAATTTTGATTTCACCAGCAGAGTTCACTGAAGAAAAATAAATAAAAATAAATTGTCAAGTTAAAACCCTATAGTATTATTTACTCTAAAGAAAAATTAGAACCAATTGAAATTTGCCCAAAGGCGTAAATGAATGAAAGATTAATGAAAAAATAATGAAAAATGAAGGGATGAAAGATAGGATTAATGAGTAAGAGGATGAATGAAAGGATGAGTTGAAAGATAGATGAAAGTATGAAAAGATGGATGAATGAAAGAAAGAATGAGTGAAAGGATGAATTATAAAAGGATGAACAAAAGAATAAACAAATAGAAGGATGAATTAGGTAAATCACTGAATTAATCAACGATGATGAATGAAAGAATGAATATTGATAAAAACATGCATTACCCAAAATATTCGATGGTTTCACATCTCTGTGAATGATCTGATGTTTCTCTCTAAGGTACTGCAGACCTCTGTATATAAATATTCACACTCGTTTTAAAAAAAGAAGAAAAAATATCAAATGAATAATAGGATGGATGTCCATTTAGGTGGTGTCTTAAGAACTTCTTTATGAAACTAACAGCGTAATTTTCAAGTGACACTCAATGCAAAGAAATCACTCAATGTTTATAATTCTTAATTGGGCTTTCTCTACAAAAGTGACATGGGCATATAGGAATTATTAGAATTTAAAACTTTTAAACCTAGAAATACAAAAATTGATCAAATTAAGGTTTCAATGGCAATCTTGTTAATTGGGTATTGTCATATTTGTATGGAGGGTTACTTGAAATTTGAAGAAAAGTTTTAAAAAGTTAAGAAGTTTATATTATTTATATATATTCTATCTTTGACCCCCCCCCCCTTCCCTCCTCTAAAGATGAACTCCCTGAAATAAGTTTGTGTATATATCCCTAAGAACTGCAAATGTAATCTTTCTCAAATATTTCTCCGGGATTCTGCCAGTCTTCTTTATAACCAGGTCCAGGGACCCTCCATCCATATACTCCATACAGATATTAATCTCTCCGTCAGAATGAAATGCTCCATAGAAACCTAGAATTTACAACATAGTCAAAACAAACGCAAAGCAGGCGCAGCGAGACATAGCACATGTTCACAAATGTATTCTGAAAAAACCACCCACCCTTTTAACACTTAATTAGTTCCCATAAATCAACTTTTTATCCTAGTAAAAATGTGGACTTCTTGCACATTAGTTCAACGATATTCAGTTGCTTTTTGCTTGCGGTGGTGAGAGGATCTCCCTTAGCAGCTCCCCGCTCCAAAGTTAGGAAGAGGGCTGCGTAGAGTCGCTCATGACTTGTCCTACAGGGGAGTAGCGAGGCATAGGATTTAAATAGTGTGGATACTCTCTCTCTCTCTTACCATATCTCCCGCTAGGGAACAAAAAAATGAAAACTCAAAAAAGTATAACCCCTGATAGGTATACAAGCCATGCACATTGCACAATGATACCGTTTTTATACTCAACCAGCTGTGAGGACTGGACTGGTTTCCTGAAATCCCTAATACCCTTCCTCCTCCAAACCTCCTTATCTCTCTCCTACCTGCTCCACAACTTGATGTCACAAGAACTATTTGGAGAGGCCTCAAAACGTAGAAAAAAAACGAAAATTGAACAGGAAAAATTGGAAGGGAAATCTCTGATACGCTCTACACTACCAATTTATTCTGTTAGGGAATGGAGACAAACATTAAAGATGGGGCTAGGAGACGCCCCCCCCCCCTTCATCTATTTCAGCCTGACAGAAAATACATTAGAAGTATGTGTTTGTTTGGAGCTGAATCAACAAGTTGAATTCAGTTGATGACACATCAAATGTGTGTACTGTAGAAATAGGAAAACTTGGTTCTAAAGTTTGCAGCATGACAAAACTGCAAGGATGTCTAAAAAAAATTCATTATTTCTAATGTACGAACAAGAAGAAAATGAAAAACAAGAAATATAGAAAGGTCAAAATATTTACATCTGATATCATTAAACTATTTAAAGAATATTGTAAAAAAATTAAATTTAAAAATAAAACTGTAAAAACTTCCACAATATTTAAAGCTAGTTTTTACATTTTACTGACCTACTATATAAGGTGAGTTGCATTCGTGAAGGATTCTCAGTTCGGTAATGATTTGTTTTTTTATCGCAGGTTTTACCTAATATTGTATTAAATTATTTTATTTTGATAAAACTTTTTCAAATAACATTCGAAGTTACCTCAAGATGAATCATTTTCTTTGCTATAACAGTTCCTGTTTGTTTGTGTCGGACACAATGCACAACTCCCCCGTTTCCAGCACCTAGTTCAATAATGTTGATTTCTTCTCTCCTTCACATTTTATTAAAATTTTTAAATCAAAAAAAAGATTAATAAATAGCATAAATGAATAGTATGATGTCACTCTCGCCTCTACAATCAGTGACATTATATGCGGATTCTATCTATCTATGCTAAGGAGAATACATTTCACTTACATCAGAGCACATTGAGAGTCTAAGTAAGCAACCTTTATATACAACCATGATCCAGGGAGCTAAAATATTGCTAAAACTAACCTAACTCAGACATATTCTCGAAACTAACCTAACTCTGATATCTTCTCAAAGTCCTCTTCCGATTTGAGTTCTCCCAGCTGCTTCTTCTGGTTGAAGAAGAACTCCAGCCTTTTTCTCTGCTCTTCGTCAACATCAGATATTACCAGATCATTGATACACGGAACCATCATAGCTTCACTCATCATTAGATCTAGATAGATATAGATAGATAGATAGAGCGATATGACGAGATTATAGATACACGGAGCCTTAATAGCTTCACTCATCAATAGATGTAATAGATACATAGTTGAAAATATATATATATGTAAATAGATAGATATTGATAAATACATAGTTGAATATTCATATATGTATCTAGATAGATAGATATTGGTGATTGTGAATACATAGTAAAATAGATGAATAGTGAATGCTCAAGTTTTCTACATAAATAAAGACAGACAGACAGATAGACAGATATACAGACAAAGACAGACAGATAAATGGAATATTGAAAATTTTAGACTTGGGTTTAAACATTTTATCTCTGTATCTGATAACTCCGGAGAAAATTCAGATAAGGTTTATTTACTATTCTAATAAACCTAAGAAAAACTTGTTGAGTATTGAAGGGCTACTACCAAAATAACACGTAAACAGATAGAATTTATATAAATTAATCTCGTCCAGGGGATTATATTCCACACAAAATACGTATTTTTCATAAATTAATATGTCTATTGTCTAGTTCAAACCAAAAATCAATTTCAAAATTTATTTTTTTTAAAGAAAGCCCTGTTCTAATCTTGAAGTACAAATTCTAGTGAATTTTTCCATTAGAGGCTGTTTATGAAACCATTGATGATTTGATTAAATTAATTGATATTAAAATATAAATAAACATTTAGGTATAAATGATATGATTTATAAATTTGTTCGTTGTTAATGTTAACATAATAATATTAAAATTGTATATATATACAATAACCACCTTAAATATTTGTACAATGTGTGAAGTCAATGCTAATGTTAATGTAACATTATATACTGTACCACTAACAATAAATGAACCTTAAATATGAATGTTAATGTTAACATTGAATTGTTTGTAAAATGTCAATGTCAATGTCAATGTCAATGTCAATGTCAATGTCAATGTCAATGTCAATGTCAATGTCAATGTCAATGTTAATGTTAATGTTAATGTTAATGTTAATGTTATTGTTAATGTTAGTGTTATCAGAACAGTACTCAGAGAGGCACTGTGTTCAGAGAAAGGACTGCTAGATTTAAGAGACCTGATAATGATGTTCCAATTCCGAGAAACCTTAGAAATAAAGAGAAAAAAGTTGTTATTGGATCCAAGATACAAGAAAATAGCAGAAAGATGAAATCCCCCCCTTGTGGATATTTTATATGGAGTACCTAAGGATACAATCACTGAGGATATTATAGAAGAATTAGCAGCTAGTGATATCAAGATATCAGATTCAGATATTGTATAAATGAGCAAAGGCAAGGATACGATCACTGAGGATATTATAGAAGATTTAGCAGATAGTGATATCCAGATATCAGATTAAGATATTGTATAAATGACCAAAGGCAAGGATACACTCAAAGAGGATATCATAGAAGATTTAGTAGATAGTGATATCCAGATATCAGATTAAGATATTGTATAAATGAGCAAAGGCAAGGATACACTCAAAGAGGATATCATAGAAGATTTAGCAGATAGTGATATCCAGATATCAGATTAAGATATTGTATAAATGAGCAAAGGCACCCCTGCTGTTGTAAGTTATAAAATATCTGTGAAAGCTAAGGATCTAGAGAAGGCCCTAAAACCTAATGTGTGGCCCCTGCGTGTGAAGATGCGTGAATTTATTCTCTACAGTAGTTGGGATATAGTAAAATACCCTACTTCAATAAATCCGTTTAGACCCGTATCAATCCAAGTACAACTCAATCTCTCTCGTTCGTCTACGCGACATAAGAACTTATCAGTTCAATCACACTTTACTTTCAATGTCAAACTGGACATGATCTATCTGTACAATACTTTACTATCAATGTCAAACTGGACATGATATATCTGTACAATACTTTACTATCAATGTCAAACAGGACACGATATATCAGTAAAATGTTTCACTATCAAAGTCAAACCGTACATGATCTATCTGTAGCAATTCCCAATCTATATCTTTCTTTCAAGAAGGTGATTCAGGACGGTCCTTGTTCGCTGAACAAAGAACAATTACTATCAATAGGTAATCCATCAAGAGTCTATTCCAGCTGAATACATTTTGGGTTCTAGGTCACAGATTAAGTTAAAGTAGAAGTAATCACAAGTTTTACGTCATTATAAATATAAAACGTAGTGAAGCTAATCATAATACAGGTTCAATAGTTATTTACAGACATAGCTAGGTTAGGTTAAGCACACAAGATTGCATAGTTACTATTAAGCGCATCTATATTTGACAATGTGCAACGAAATTTATCTATATGTAATTATAGAATCTGCCACTGTATTTGTTACAGGTACAAGGGTCAGAATTTGAGAAATATGCGTGACCAACCTACATCTACACAAAGAAAAATTATCAAGAGCAGAGTCCAGAAATATTGGTAACCCAAGACTAATAGATGGAAACATTTATAATGTTTTGGCTAACTAATCATCATGGAGACTAACACAACCAGCATCTGTGTTCAATTCGGATTGTCTATTAAGCAGACAAGATTTGAAAGAAACCTGTTTATGATGGGGTTCTTGGCGCACCTTTGGTGCTTAAGTTGATGTGAATTGAAGGTTTGTCATTACACAATTTAAGAGTACTCAAGTAATAACTTTTACAGAAAAAAAACTTTAACAATTTAAAAATGTTTCTCTAACTATACAGGGTGTATCTTAAAAAAACGCAATAATATTTCACCAGGATGAAGTGATATTATTTGACTGAAACCTGTTTCTAATCACTCTCATGCTTGAGAATTAGGAACAAGTCGAATTTACTAACTTCATGAAAAGTCTTACATAATAAGACAACATTTTGAAAATTCTTCTGAGAGTTATAAAAGAGGTGTATAGAGTTGTTTAAAGAAGCATCAAGGCATAATGTTGTTCATAGAAGCATCCAGGCATAATGTTGTTTAAAGAAGCATCCAGGCATAATGTTGTTTATAGAAGCATCCAGGCATAATATTGTTTACAGAAGTTGTTAATCTAAGAACCTTAGGATTCGCCTGATCGAGGCATATTGGCCACGCCCCTATTCTCCACACCTTTAAACCGTCCGGTTCTAATCTGAGACCTCATGTATTTTATCTGCAACAGATAAAACATAAGATCTTGTTCCTGCTGAGGCAGGTCTTGCACAGATTGAAAATCTGGTACAAACATCTATCAATGTCAATATAGAATACTTATTCCAGATCAATCTGAATATCAACAAAGAACAAAATATAAATAAATGATAAAACTGATAAAGATGCTTTCCTGGTGGTTCTATTGGCAATTTATATTATCAATGCAGTCCAAGCTCATTGTATAATATCTGAAATGGTAAACATCTCAGACATGATTCTCATACAAACATTGGACAATACATGATACATAAATAAAGCCAGCAGGATAACATCTGTGGTGGCATGGTTTCCTCGCAACAATGTTCCATAGTCCTTAACAAAAAATGCTTGACAATGAGCAATCTTAGCTCAACATTGCCCAACAAAGAAAAAGGACTCATGGGACAGTAATAAACAGAAACCATTACCTATAGTTTACAATACATTTGAAAAAATACAACAACCAGTAGTTCTTCCTAATCTTCGACATATCTTCATAACCAGGCCAATCAGCATAGTTAGTAGGATCATCATCCTGGTTATCAGTAGAGGTCAGGATTATCACAGTCGCGAAGGATCTGCTCAAAATCACTAAATAGATCCGTAGTGGTATGAGGTCCAGGATTATCACAGTCACGAAGGAACTGCTCAAAGTTACTAAGTACACCAGTAGAGATGTGAGGCTCAAGATTATTACAGTCACAAAGGAACTGCTCAAAATGTACAGAGCTTTAAGGTTTATGCTTTTCTTCTTCAGTTTAGAGTCAGGTAATAGATGAGGTTTCAGTAGCAGCTGCAGCGGCAGCTCTCTTCCTCTTAAGAAATAAGAGGATTCTAGGAGTTTCACCTGGCACAGGCTTGAAAGCAATCAGGAGTAATAACAGTACTCAGACTCTTCAATGATCATAACGTCATCTTTATCTCCCTCCATATCAGGAACAACAATAACAACCTTCCTTGTTTCCTTTGCTTCAGGTTCTGTGAAAATCATCTTTTCACAACTTAAAAAGAAGACCTGAAGACAGGCTTGAACAGGGGGAAAGGGAGAAAACTCGTCTTATTCTTGTGTTAGAGAAAGAAGAATGTTTAATTAAAAATAAACCTTATCATGAACATCTTTAGTTGAGGCATCAAATCATAGGATGAGGGGCAACAGAAAATACTCTTTGAAAGCTTTTAAAGGAACTATTCCTTTTAAAGCCATCAAGGTTAGAACTAAAACCTTATCTTAGACATTTTGAGTTTCATACCCAACATGTCAAATGATATATGAAAGAAATTGAAGAAAACAGATACCGAGAAATTACTGAAGCTACTGAAAATATAATGTTTAAACTTTAAATCATTTAGAGATCTCAACTCCATTCTTGTATTACAAAGGAGATTAGGAACTGCAAGAAGACTCTCCATTCTTTGAGAGGCATTTTCTAGTTGGCACTCAGTTCAACATTATGCTTCACATCAGAGCTGGGGAGATAATCTTTCAAGAACTTCATAATGTCTTTTACCATTGGCTTGGAATGATCATCCTTAGAGCAGAGTAGAAGATTATATGTACTCTTACCAGGACTATTAAATGTAACTTCACATTCTGTACATAAAAGCTCCTTTGGAGGTTTCCTGCTGCACTTCCTTCGGCATTTATGCCATGGACCTAGACAAGTGAAGCAGAGTTTCCTTTTACATGATTCAATTCTTTCTTTTGCAGTTAAAGTAAAGAATTCAGCACAGACTCCAATCTCATGTCTGTGCTTATCTAGTGGGCAAGGATATTTCAAGGACAAATCATACCATTTAGAATTAGCAGCTTTATCACCTTTCTTAGGGACTGATGCTGCTATGGTCTGAGAG